TTAAATTAGATCATCCCCAGGTCGGAAATATCAATGTACCACCTGGTTGACCTTATCCGTTACATCAAATGTAGACAAACGACTGGAGGTGACCTCTGTCACCATCGACCTCTGGAAACATTTGACCTCCTCAGCCACACCACCTTCATCAAGAAAATGATTTCCCTAGGATATCAAACTGCACCTCATGCGCTAAATCACCGGAAGAACATGGGGCAACAGAAAAGACGCGGCAGCATCCGACAGCCGAGCGCAGCACCCCCCCCGCCCCCCCTCCCCCCCTCCCCCCCCCCCCTCTCGCCCCGCCCCCTCCCCTCCCCCCTGGGGGGGCGTCCGACGGAGGGCAAGCGAGAAAACAGGGCGGGAGGACGCAAACAACAAACCGAGGGGGGACGAGCGGGGCAGGCAGCCCGAAGGAGGGCAACGGGTACTGACGGGGTGGGTACGGGAAAGGGCCGAGGGGGGAAAGGGACAAGGGGACCGGGGAACGAGAGACGCCACCAAATGAAAGGAGGGAGGAGGAGGCGGAGACAGAGGCAGAGAGGAGTGAGGAGGAGGGGGGAGGAGGAGAGGGTGAGGAGGAGGAGGAGGGGGGAGGAGGAGAGTGAGGAAGCAGGGGGGGGGGGGGGAGGGGGGGGGGGGCGGGGCTGGGCGACGGGGAGAGCAGGAGGAGGAGGGGGAGGAGGGGGAGGGGGAGGAGGAGGAGCAGGGGGGGTGAGAAGAGCTAGAGCAGCAGCCAGCAGGCAGCAGCGCAGCTAGCAGCCGCAGCAGCAGCAGCAGCAGCAGCACGCAGCAGCAGCAGCAGCAGAAGGAGCAGGAGCAGCATGCAGAGCAGCAAAATCCAGCCGCAGCAGCAGCAGCCGCAGCAGCAGCAGCAGCAGCAGCAGAGCAGCAGGAGCAGCAGGAGCAGCAGGAGCAGCAGGAGCAGCAGGAGCAGCAGGAGCAGCAGGAGCAGCAGGAGCAGCAGGAGCAGCAGGAGCAGCCAGCAGCAGGGAGCAGGAGCAGGAGCAGGAGCAGCAGCAGCAGCAGCAGCAGCAGCTAGCGCCAGAGCCTCCGCATAGGCGCAGTCAGCAGCCATCAGCAGCAGCGCAGCAGCAGGAGCAGGAGGAAGAGCAGGAGCGGATCAGGAGCAGCAGGATCGGAGCAGGATGATGAGTAAGTAGGGAGGAGGAGGATGAGGAGGAGGAGGAGGAGTATAGTAGATGGAGGAGGAGGAGGAAACACGCCCACACACACGCCGCACACACAGACACGACACACACACACCAACACCACACAAACACACACACCACACACACACCACACACACACAACACACACACACAACACACCCACACACACACACACACACACAGGAGAGAGAGCGATAGGAGAGCAGCGGATGAAGAGGATGAGAGCGAGGAGAGAGAGAATGATAGAGTGAGAGAGGAGAGGAGAGCTGCGAGAGAGGAGCGAGAGAGGAGAGAGACTGAGACGGGAGAGAGAAGAGAGGAAGAGAGAGAGAGAGCGAGAGAAGAGCGAGTTAGAGGAGAAGAGGTAGAGAGAGAGAGAGAGAGATGAGAGAGAGAGAAGATGAGAGAGAGAGATAGAAGAGATAGATGAGGGAGAGAGAGAGGAGAGAGAGAGGAGAGAGAGAGAGGAGAGAGAATAGAGAGGAGGAGAGAGATAGAGAGAGAGAGAGAGATAGAGAGAGAGAGACAGAGAAGAGGGACAAGAGAGAGAGAGAGAGAGAGAGGAGATAGAGAAGAGGGGGAAAGAATAGAGAGAGAGTAGAGAGAGAGAGATTCTAGAGAGACGTAGATATGATAGTCAGCTATAGATGATCTGAGAGATAGCTACGGAGAGATATCTATATAGAGAGATATAGAGATAGAGAGAGCTGAGAGAGAGAGAGAGAGGAGGAGAAAGAGAGACAGAGACGAAAGAGAGGAGCCGCACACACACACACACACACAGAGGACACACCACAGACACAGACACACACACAGACACACCACACACAAGATGAGAGACAGAGAGAGGGGGGGGGGAACAGAGCGAGAGAGAGAGAGAGAGAGAGAGAGAGATATAAGAGAGAGAGGTCGAGAGAGAGCTATAGACAGAACAGAGAGAGAAGGGCGGAGAGAGATAGAGGAGGGAGATAGAGAGATGAGAGAGATAGGAGGCGAGCGAGAGAGTAGAGAGAGAGAGTAGAGAGCGAGACAGACATGAGCAGGGGAGTATATTATATAGAGATAGAGGATAGAGAGGAGAGATAGGAGAGAGACAGAGAGCAGATACATAGATATATTAGAGACAGGATAGAGAAGATATTATAATAGATATATATATAGAGACATTAAGTAGATATATATAGATAGAGATGTATATTATAGATATATATACGAGATAGAAGGATAGATATATAGATATATATAGAGATATAGATATAGAGATATCGCGACTATCTAGAGTGTATATAGCTATATATTATCTATAGCTATAGTAGATATATATATAG